GATCTAGACCTAGTGGTTTCTAAAGACCAACAATTAATTCCACTTTGAAGTGATTTTAGAGCTCTGAGTAGAGGCACAGAGGCTATGAAAAAAAAGTTTAAAAAAATAAACTCAACCTTAAAATATAAATAATTGTTCCATTTAGGCCACCTGTTTATGTTCTTTTATTTTTAACTCTGAAGTTCCCCCTCAGTTCTCCAACTACTATCGGGGGCATCTCTAGACCAGACCAAGTAGTGTATGTGTGAGATACAGCTAGGCTGGTACTCTATCCTGTGGAACAAATGTGACCTCACCAGTGGGCAAACAGTTTTACAGTTCATATAAGGAATACATTCATTAGGCCCTGATCTATGGATTTCACATGACTGGGAATACAGATATTGTATGCAGCTGTTGGTCACAGATGCCTTAAAAAAAGAGGTTGGGGCGTGGATCAGAAAACCAGTCAGTATCTGGTGTGACCACCATTTGTCTCATGCAGCGCGACACATCTCCTTCGCATAGAGTTGATCAGGCTTTTGATTGTGGCCTGTGGAATGTTGTCCCACTCCTCTTCAATGGCTGTGTGAAGTTGCTTGATATTGGCAGAAACTGGAACACGCTGTCATACACGTCGATCCAGAGCATCCCAAACATGCTCAATGGGTGACATGTCTGGTGAGTATGCAGGCCATGGAAGAACTGGGACATTTTCAGCTTCCAGGAATTGTGTACAGACCTTTGCGACATGGGCCATGCATTATCATGCTGAAACATGAGAAACAACTCGCCCACACAACGCCAAACACATGGTCTGCAGTTATGAGGCAGGTTTGACGTACTGCCAAATTCTCTAAAACGACATTATGTTAGAGAAATGAACATAACATTATCTGGCAACAGCTCTGGTGGACATTCCTGCAGTCAGCATACCAATTGCACATTCCCTCAAAACTTGAGACATCTGTGGCATTGTGGTGTTTGACAAAACTGCACATTTTAGAGTGGCCTTTTATTGTCCCCAGCACAAGATGCACCTGTGTAATGATAATGCTGTTTAATCAGCTTCTTGATATGCCACACCTGTCAGGTGGATGGATTATCTTGGCAAAGGAGAAATGCTCACTAACAGTGTTGTAAAGAAATGTGTGCACTATATTTTAGAGAAATAAGCTTTTTGTGCTTGTGGAAGATTTCTGGAATCTTTTATTTCAGCTCATGAAACATGGGACCAAAAATGTACATGTTGCGTTTATATATTTTTTCAGCGTAGATTGCATCTTTAGAGGTGTTTGGTAGCAGTTGTGTGTTAGAAGGATAATTATGGTGTGTCTGAAACGTTGCAGGGTTAGGTGTAGTTTCAGACTAGGAGGCTCTCAGGACATGGAGCTGGTACATCAGAGAAGCTCTGGTTCTTAACAGCATGTCAGCAGCCTCTAACCCGCCAGGCTAACTGATAAGGGTTCACTCTGTTTCACACACACACACAACAACAACAACAACAACACACTCACACACACTCAAACACACATACATGCACGTTTGCCAAGATCAGAAGTGTAAATCTCAAATGCTCCACTCCAACAGCATGGAGACACACACCGGGAGCAATATTCAATCAAAAGCTGAAACCAGGTTTCCAGAAAAAAAGTCTAAAATGTATTTTGTTCTTGAAATCGTTTATTTTTTTATGACACTGACCTTGTGATCAGTGTTTTAATAAATACATGAATCCTAACATAACAGAGTAAAATATTTAAATTAAGCCTTTGTTTTATTTGTACTTATTCCACCATGTGGGTATTTCAGAACCAGCATATCTTGTAATATCACATTGTAAGCTTGGACTTTGCAACTTTATTGTAACTATTTGACCATGAACCAGTCATTGAAATGAAATGTACACTCTGCAGTAGCCTATAATATACATGTGGTTTTCCATATAAAAAGATAAAGTTCATGTACAATTCATACCATCTACTTTTCAAGGACCATGTAAAAGAGTGAGTTATGGCTCAGGGAAGTGAATATGTCACATAGTTGATTCTAGTCCTATAAAAACATAACATCTATTTTCATAATGGAATATGGTCTGCATCCAAAATGGCACCCTATTCTCCATATCGTGCACGGTTTTTGAACAGGGCTCTGGTCAAAAGTAGTGCACTACATATGTAATAGGGTGCTATTTGGGACACATTTTCTCTCCTCTGCATGAGCTCAATGAAACAGCTCCTATGAATCTCTGTCTTCCTATGCTATCAACTGCACACATGTTGAGTGTGTGTGTGTGTGTTCGTAGACACTTGCTGAATGAGCTTTCCCTGAACACTTCATATTTCCTGATGAAACATGAAGCGTTTGCAGACTTTTGTTATCATTTAGAGTGTCTGGACTGATTAAAACTGACACATTTTCCTAGATTAAGTCGGCCATATGTCTCTTCCATCCTACTTCTCATATCCAAACTTTACATTGTCCTCCTGTCCTTCTCGGCCAAGTTTGTCTGACTCTATTAAGCCAGTTTCTTGTCTTTGTACTGTTTTAAATATAATGTTCAGTCTGAAGCATAGAACCAGAAGGATTCTAGTATTATTACATAGACAGATTCTATTCATATTGCCTGAGATGGTGCACTGTAGATGAAAACCTGGTTCTTAATTGACCAACCTGAGTAGAAAAGTAAAAGAATGAATGAATGAATGAATTAAACATTCTCTTTCCCATCCTAATTGAAACTGGAAAGGAACCACTCTATTTGCTTTACTTTGTTCTTTCACTTTACTTCCCTCACAACCTCCCCTCTCTCTGTCCCTCTCTCACTAAACTCTTTCCCCTCTTTCTCCTCCCTCTCGCCGCAGCTCTTTCATTCTCTCTCTAAAACCCACTCATTCTCTCCTTCTTTCCCTCACCCCCCTGTTTTTCTCTCTCATTCTCCCTCTTACACCCCCTTCTCCCTCACCCCCTCTCTCTAACTGCCCCCCTCCCCCTCTCCTTTTCTCTCTGTAGACTAATTCGCCCTCAGTAATTAGTTGGCTAGTTAATTGGCTGTCTAACTGGCGGACCAGACAAAAGACAGAGCAGGCCTGGACAACAGAGACACAGTGGAGTGTCCCCTTCACATTCTGAGACTAAAATTGACGAAAATTCGCGCTCTATCATCTACTCGCTCAGAGCGATAGGCATGTATTACTCTGCTAGATGCTATATAGATCGTGCTCTGAGGAGCGAGTCATGAAGATGCGCTCTCTCGTCTCTCTCTCTCTCTCTCTCCTCTCTCTCTCTCTCTCGCTCTCTCCTCTCCTCACACACACCAACCCAACACACACCAAGCTTTCGTCTCGCTAGTTGCCGTGCATACACACACTCCCTAAGTTTCACACCTCAGGGGTCATACAGTAGTTGATTTGGGAAAAGTGTGTATTTCTCTGTCCTGCACTCGAGTCCTAGCCGGAGAGCCCTCCACGCTGCCTGTCTCTCTGTGCTTGACCTACTCCTGGCTAGTTTCTCACTAGACTCACTGTCTGTCGTCAGCACAGCACTCCTACCATATGAGATTTAATGGCATGTTCTGTGTTACATAGCAAACGTATAACTAATATGTCACTGTCAGTTAAATATAACTCAAATGGTTGAATATAACTATTTTGACATATACTAATGAGACCATGTTGACATTAACATTGTGAATGATGATAATCTATTCACCACTTACTGCATGTTAATGTAACATTTTATATTTCATGTTATATCATTGTGAAGGTTAGCTAATCCCTACTTTTAATGAATTCTACAGGTATGTAACATAGTTTTTATGGTTTTCTTAAGATTTTCTTATAGAATAGCTCCTTGATCAGCCCAGTCACTGATAATGTTCAGGAAATGTTGCTTGCTTAAATCTGTAAAAATATTAAGTCAAATATGGTTTCAATCAGCATCTGATTTTGATATTTTCTTCTTCTTTTGTTTTAACTGAGAATTTGTTTGGAAGCACATTTAAGTTTAGGGTCGGTTTCCTTGACCCAGAATAAACCTACTCCTGGAGTTAAAAGCATGCCGAATGCAGAATCTCTGAAAGCGTTTTCAGAGATTCAGGAATAGTCTTAGTCTATGTCTGGGATAAGGGTTTATCTGAAAAGCTGCTGTCCCTGAGATCAGTCTGAAACTTTCAACTTGTTCTTCATTTTATTTTTGTACACACACTAGCAGTTCTACCATACAGTCTGATACATGAACTGAAAATGTTTCCCTAGTCTACAGTAACTTTTATTTTAATCTCTGTCATTGCAATTACAATAAATTGTTGCAATATTTGACATGAAAACGTCCCCTTGGTCTTTATTTTATGTCACTCTGTTTTATAGTAGAAGTTATTTGGAAAACATGGACATTTCACTGTGGTCTATCTATTATTCCCAGCTTTCTCATACAGTAGAAGAAACACTGACTTGCATGTTAGCTGTCCTATGGGAATATAATACATTCTGATATCTAACCTGGAACTTTACTATCCTTTCTTCCCTAGCTATATCTCATAGCAGTTGCATTGACTTAAAAGGTGTATATTTGTATCTATAACTATCAAAATAGTTTCAGTGGTTTGTTCTTTCCTGTCCAAAGATGATTCCCTCCATTACTTAAAAATTAAACATAAATCTTGTTCGACAATATCTTCTGTTCAAAGCTCTGAAGCTGGAGTAAGAGTTAACCTGCATTAGGGCTTGTGCTCTCTCCCATCTAGAGCCAGTGTGATGTAATAATAATAATAATATTAAGCCATTTAGCAGACGCTTTTATCCAAAGCGACATACAGTCATGTGCGCATACATTTTTACATCCCGGGGATCGAACCCACCACCCTGGCGTTACAAGCGCCATGCTCTACCAATTGAGCTACAGAGGACCATGGCACTTCCAAGGCCATGATGTGTGGAGGCACAACAGTCAACTAAACAAGTTATTACTCTAGGGAAGGGACCATTATCATGTCATTTAGGGTCTATCTTTTACACAAGTTAGTATACAGTCTCTAAACATGCAAGAAAAAATAGGGTTGTGAATAAGTGTGTGTGTGATCTTACCTGGAGCCGGGGTGGCCTGGTTCCCAGCAAACTGCATGGGGATACACAGATCATTATCAATAGGAAACTTATCACAGGTCAACATCTCCGGCCAGGGGAACCCATAGGTCTCCATAACGGGGGCACAGCTATCCCTCACAGCCTCACACAGAGAGCGACACGGGTAGATGGGCCTGTCCAGACACACAGGGGCGAAAAGGGAACACAGGAACACCTGCGTATCCGCGTGGCACCGCTTGGCGAGGAGCGGCACCCAGCTACCCGCCTGCTGTTTGACCTCCGGCATGGTCTCGTGGTCCAGTAGGTTGGGGAGGCGCATCTTCTTGTAGCCCACGTTGTGGCAGAGGCGTAAATCGGCGGGGATGTCCACACACTGCGGCTGCTTGGTGTAGAAACGGCCGTTGTGGAAGTTGTCCGATTGCCAGCTGTAGTAGTCGTATTCGTCGGCGGTCGAGGCAGGGGAGGTGAGGAGGAGGAGGAGGAGGAAGAAGGACATGGAGAGGGACAGTGCCATGGTGGAGAAGGGGTTAGTGAGTAGTTGTGCCTGCTGCTGCCTGCTGTTGCTGTGGTTTTTTAGTCCCTGTGCCATGTTGCTCTGAGCTCTTGGAGGGAGAAAGAAAAGAGGAACGTATCCAAATTGTCCAACGTGACACAGGGCTTTTGGAGAATAAATGCAAACTCTTTTTGCTGAAGAAACAAACTGTAATCCTTTTTTTCCTGTCCAAGAACGAGAGCAGAAGCTGAGACAGAAAACAAAAAGAAAGTGTATATTCTGGTCTTCTTTCAACAGAGAGAAAATGTGTGTGTTAGTGTGTGTCCAGTCATCTCATCTCTGCGCTGGTAGAGCTGTGTGTCTCTGCCTCAGGTGGTTGTAAGTGGGGAGACAAGGGTGAGTCGAGGGTAAGACGAGGGGTCAGTGGAGGGTGAGTGCTGTGTGTGCCTCCTTTCCCTCTGTCTAACTCTCTGTCAAACTCTAACTCTCTTGCTCTCTCCCTGCAGTTCTCTCTATCTCACTCCACAGCTGTCTCTTCCTCTGTCTCTACCTCCACCTCTCTCTCTGTCTGTGTCTAGCAGTGTGTGTGGAGCAGCTAGAGTATATCAGCTAGTGGGATAGTTTCTCCCTGTATGCTGTCAGGTCCCCTAGCAGACTCGCAGAACACTCTCCCTCCCACTGGCCCCACACAGCTCTGGCTCAGCCTATCACAGGCCTCACACAGTGCTACCTCAGCCAATCAGAGACCAGGGGGAGGTTCTGAGGGTGGAAGAGATTCTCCCCCCTCATCACCCTCTCTGGTAGACAGTCCCTGAGAGAGAGAGAGAGATGAGAGATAGGAGAGAGAGAGAGACGGATAGAGATAGAGAGAGCGAGAGAGAGAGAGAGAGAGAGATAGATAGAGAGAGTAGAGAGAAGGAGAAGTAGAGAGAGGCACTACCAATGTCCAAGTGTGTGTGCTATGTGCGTGCACATGTGGAGAGACAGAGTGAGAAGGAGAGTTAGAGAGGGAGAATGAGAGAAAGCGGGAGAGATAGGAGAGGGAGAGAAAGAGGTGAGAGAGAAGGAAATACTTTTCTACTCTCCCTGATTGTTGTACTGCTCTGATCTCTCTCTCACACACACACATACACATGCACAGAGTGTGGTGGCAGTGAATTATTTGTGCACTATATTGAGAGTCAGGCAGGCTACAGCAGCTACAGGTGGCTAGGTCGTTTGGTTACGCTCTGTGAGATATGCTAATGTCTATGGTGGTGTTGAATAGAGGCGCGCTGCCTGTCTGTCTCTTTCCATCAGTAACACTGACACACACAACACACAGATGGCCCCAGCCATAGCATTAAAATTAATCCAATTCTCATTCAACTCTCATTCAAAGCACTCTAACTTAGTGGGTGGACTGGTGGCCACATTGGTTGCACCGGTTGGAGTGTTTGTTCATATGGATGCTCTCAATTAGGTGATTTCTCAGTGTTCTACACATTCTGCAAATTCTGTTGTCACCATATTGGGTGTACAATGAAAGTACCAATGGATTTTAGAGCTATGTCCTCTCTAATTAGTGGGGTCAAACACACACACAGCATTTAACCCAGTGCCCATGCAGCTTTGCTGAAACCTCCCCGCTGCCGGAACCTATGGGCTCATGTCATGTCAGACATTCACATCAATACCACAATAAAGCAGTGCTAGAGATTGGAAATGTGTCAATTGATTTACTTGACTTATTCCCTTTGGCTTCAAGTGGAGCAAAGGGGCCTCAATCAGACACATTTTAGTGGATTTGTGTTTGTATGTTCTTTTCATACTAAAGCTGGTGAAAATATTATAATTAGGGGTTCATAGCGAAGCTGTGAAACCTATTATTCCCTTTCAGTCAGTCAACTTCAGTATAACATACTATGGGGAGTTGCACTCTCGCGACTTCGGTTGAAGGATCTACAATCACGCCTGACAAGGCCAATGAATTCTGCGGCTCGCTGGAAGCCCCGCCTTCCACAGGTGTTAAGCCTGAGGCTCAGATTCATTAATTCAATTATTCTGCTCTTCACCTCGGTGTGAACAGGAATGGTTCACGCTACTAAAACAAACAATTATGTTGTGCTAATTAAACAGTCTCGTTGTGCTAAAGCGTGCTCACCCCCTGGATGTTGTGTGTTGAAGTTTGTACATATGTTTTCTAATCACAAACAATTAAATATTCTTCAATTTGCAGGTGCAATAAGTACAATGGCTAAGAAAACAACCGAGACAGCGATGGCTAACCTGGTTTCGGGGTCGAGATCATGCCGCCAGTCATGCGGTTATAGCATTTCTCTGAAAGATACTCACAGTGTATGTGTTGTGTGTCTCGGATTGGAGCACACTCAGGCGGCCTTCGCTTGAAACAGTCCGTGTGTGCATTGCCACGTACTGCATACAAACTCCCTGGAGACCTGTAGCATTCTTGAGAAAGCTTGGAATTACCAATGAAGACTTTCCCTTCCTGGTTGCCGGTACCTCGGCTGGGACCGAGGTGCAGGAAGCTGAGATGGATTGGGTGGTCGGAGCAAATGTCTTGTCTGCCTGCGCCCAACCCGACTCCTGTGTCGCTGGTTATGGGAGGCTACTCGAAGAGAGAGGGCGGCCAGGTTCGGTGGGTACACCCCGCCGCCTGTCTCTGCCTCGGTCAAACACTGCTTACCTCTCTTCTCAGACTTGTTGATGAAGGGTCTGGTCCCACCTCGGTGAGCCAGTCCTACGTGAACTTTCGAGACCGGGCTAGCTAAACGAGAGCCGCATAGCGTTTTAGCCAGGTTGGCAAACTCGCCGAGGCAAGCTAGCTATTACTATTTATTCCTGCCTCCCCACAGTGGAGTTTCTTAGGTAGCTCTCTTGTTTAGCCAATTTTCAGTTCCTGGGGTATCCCCCGGAGCGAGGTGCCTTGGCAAGGTTCTGAGTAACCGGTGCCGTTCTCCGCAAAAACATTACTGTGATTCCTGCCTGTAGCTCACTAGTCCCTATGAGGTGTCTAGTGATACAGGTTATGGGCTCTATAGGCGATTAGTTGTTGGTAGCGGAGTTGAGGGAACGAGCAGGGTTGGACACGACCATGCTATTATCCCACACACAGTCTCTGTGGTATATATGAGCCCCCAAATGAGCTGTCTGTCTCCAGCTCAACGCTTTTCATTCCTGGGAAATAGATTCAATTGTTAGGACAGCTACTTCAGATGCACCAATTGTTGTTTGAGATGGGATTCTCCTTTCTTCCCACCTTGTGTCTTTAGTCAAAGTTCTAGACTACTTTACATGGACAGCCGCAGACTGCCAATGCTTTTTGGTCTAATGAGTTTATCTTCTTCACCTCGTGTAGATATTCAAAGTTCTAACCATTTTCAGCCGTGTAGCCACAGTTTCACGCTTTCTGGTCTTTCTGGTCTAACCATTTTGTAACGTTTAGCTCACGCTTCACGTCTGCTGGTCTTTCTAGTCTAACCATTTTAAGCAGTGTAGCCACAGCTCCACGCTTCCTGGTCTGATGTGAATTTCGTTACCAAGGCTTTTTATCCTCGGGTAAAAAGGGGGCGTTCCATCACACCGACACAATGTCTGTGCTCACTTGGGCGTGGTTACTGACTTGGCAAAAGTTTATACGAAAAACAATTATCTCATTTAGAAGACTAAAATCACCTTATCTTCACAAAATACTCTCATACTTAATCATATATTTTATACAACATTTATACAACATTTAGAAGTTGAGAAATAGAATGTGTACACTTTCCGAGTTAGAGTTATTTCTTGATACCATACTTAATGACATCACAAAATAATAAACAATATGACATGATTATTCTTTAGATCCCCACTGACCATTTTTAACATTCGGATGATAGAAATAAATGTTCCAATGTTCACTTTTTAGGGAAAAAGGTTTTGGCGGCAAAACTCACTCACTAGACAAAGGCATTATTTTCTCAATACTAGAGAGCCAGGGAGTGGGTTCTCTCCTGCTTAAATTTCCGACCCAGTGTTATGGTGTCAAGACCAGCACAGCCCCCCTTCCCCTCTTCTGTGGGTGAGAGGGTCTGGTTGTTGTCAGCCGTTTGCCAAGCTGATCTAAAGCCTTTGGATCCTCAGCCAGGAGAGTCATGACACTGGACTTTGTGCAAACTGGAAACCACATATCCTGAGGCTGCATTTATTGTAGCTAGGGACTTTAACAAAGCAAATCTGAGGAAAACGCTACCGAAGTTCTATCAACACATTGCCTGTAGTACTCGCGCTTCAAAAACTCCAGACCATTGTTACTCTCCCTTCCGGGATGGCTACAAGGCCCTCCCCCGCCCTCCCTTCGGCAAATCAGATCATGACTCCATTCTGCTCCTCCCTTCCTATAGGCAGAAACTCAAACCCGTGCTAAGGTCTATTCAACGCTGGTCTGACCAATCGGAATCCATGCTTCAAGATTGTTTTGATCACGTGGACTGGGATATGTTCCAGGTTGCCTCTGAGAATAACATTAACGTATACACTGAGACGGTGACTGAGTTCATCGGGAAGTATATAGGGGATGTTTTTCCCACTGTGACTATTAAGACCTACCCGAACCAAAAAACGTGGATAGATGGCAGCATTCGCGCATAACTGAAAAGCGGGAAACACCGCATTTAACCACGGCAAGGTGACTGGGAATATGGTAGAATACAAATAGTGCAGTTATTCCTTCCGTAAGGCAATCAAACAGGGAAAACGTCAGTGCAGAGACAAAGTGGAGTCGCAATTCACGAGACGTATGTGGCAGGGACTCCAGACAATCACAGATTACAAAGGGAAAGCCAGCCAAGTCGTGGACACAGGCGTCTTACTCCCGGACAAGCTAAACTTCTTCTTTGCCCGCTTTGAGGATAACACAGTGCCACCGACGTGGGCCTCTCCCAAAGGTGCGTGCTCAGCCCCCTCCTGTACTCCCTGTTCACCCAAGACTGCATGGCAGTACACGCCTCCAACACAATCATCAAGTTTGCAGATGACACAACAGTAGTAGGCCTGATTACCAACAATGATGAGACAGACTACAGGGAGGAGGTGAGGGCCCTGGTGGAGTGGTGCCACGAAAATAACCTCTCCCTCAACGTCAATAAAACGAAGGACCTGATTGTGGACTTCAGGAGACAGCAGAAGGAGCAAGCCCCCATCCACATCGACGGGGCCGCAGTGGAGAAGGTGAAAAGCTTCAAGTTCCTCTGCGTACATATCACTGACAATCTGAAATGGTCCACCCACACAGACAGTGTGGTGAAGAAGGCGCAACAGCACCTCTTCAACATCTGGAGGCTGAAGAAATGTGGCTTGGCCCCTAAGACCCTCACAAACCTTTACAGGCACCATTGAGAGCATCCTGTCGGGCTGTATCACCGCCTGGTACGGCAACTGCACTGACTGCAACCGCAGGGCTCTCCAGAGGGTAATGTGGATCACCGTGGGCACACTGCCTGCCTTTCAGGACACCTACTGCACACAATGTCACATGAAGGCCAAAAAGGAGCTAGGAACACAAGCATTTCGCTACACCCGCAATAACATCTGCTAAATATGTGTATGCGATCAATAAAATGTGATTTGATTTGATACTGAGTAAACCTCCAATTGTTCTGTTCGTTTGTCATCCCAGTGACTGGCAGACTACCCCTGTCCACCTGCATCCTAGGGCCTTTGAGAGATTGGGACATCTTTAAAAAGAGCACACAGTGCCACCTACAGAACAGAAGCAGATTAACAGCCAAAAGCATTTCCAACACCCTCTCCTGGATTGTATTGTATACT